TGAACTACCACTAGGGGGATTCTTCAACACTATCCCACCTTCATCTGTCTTGGGCAATCCATCTCTTTGTGGATCTGCTGTTAACCGTGCCTGCCCTTCCGTCCACCCCAAACCCATTGTCCTTAACCCTAATTCTTCCAATCCCGTCGGTGGTTCTTCTGCTCCAACTCATGGTCACAAGATCATATTCAGCATATCAGCCCTCATTGCTATAGGCGCAGCTGTATTTATTGCCATTGGTGTCATAGCTGTAACCATCCTCAACATGCATGCGCGGTCTTCATCATCACTGTCTACTGCTCCTCTTGAGTTATCAGGCGGGGAAGAATATAGTTGTTCCCCGACTAATGATCCAAACTACGGCAAGCTTGTCATGTTTTCTGGTGATGCTGACTTTGCTGCTGGGACACAAGCCTTGCTCAACAAGGACTGCGAACTTGGTCGTGGTGGGTTTGGAGTAGTTTACAAAACAGCCCTTCGTGATGGGCGTTCTGTTGCGATAAAAAAGCTATCAGTCTCAAGTTTGATCAAGTCCCAAGAAGTTTTCGAGAGGGAAGTTAAGGGACTGGGAAAGATCAGGCACCGTAATCTTGTGGCACTTGAAGGGTATTACTGGACTCCGTCCTTGCAGCTCATCATTTATGAGTACATACCATGCGGAAGTCTATTTAAGAATCTGCATGACGGACCTGGCAAAACCTGTCTCACTTGGCGGCAGAGGTTCCACATAATTCTCGGGATGGCAAAGGGTTTGGCTCATCTGCACCAAATGAACATAATCCACTACAATTTGAAATCAACTAATGTTTTGATAGACAACAATGGTGAGCCTAAGGTGGGAGACATTGGCCTGGCAAGGCTGTTGCCAACACTAGACCGGTGTATCTTAAGCAGCAAAATCCAAAGCGCACTTGGATACATGGCACCCGAGTTTGCATGTCAAACGGTTAAGATTACTGAGAAATGTGATGTCTACGGATTCGGGATCTTGGTTTTGGAGGTGGTGACTGGAAAGAGGCCTGTCGAATATATGGAGGATGATGTGATAGTACTCTGTGATATGGTGAGGGGAGCGCTGGAGGAAGGCCGGGTGGAGGAATGTCTGGACAAAAACCTCCTTGGCAACTTTCCAGCAGAGGAGGCAATTCCGGTGATCAAGCTGGGTTTGATATGCGCGTCTCAAGTGCCATCAAATCGCCCGGACATGAATGAAGTGATCAACATTTTAGAACTCATCCAATGCCCTTCAGAAGGCCAGGAGGAATTAGAATAATTTTAGTTTACAGATTGAGAAGGTGAACAGATAATCGCCGTGTTCCGGTGAAGATCAATCCAGTTTTGTTTCAAGCAAAGGCAAAAAGAATATAGTGTTGGAGTTCCATCTCCATGTCTTCCATTTGTGTCTGTAATTTTATTCCCTATTTAATTGTATAGCACTTATATGGTGCCAGATTGCTTCTCACCGGTTTGAAATGGAACAACTTGATTAGGGTTTGGGTTAAAGATCTCTCAGTATAAACAACAATTAACTGTATCTGTCTCTAGACTTGCATACATTTCTAATACGCCACAAATAGCGTGTTACATACACTTTTTATACGCCACAAATAGCGTATTACATACACTTTTTTATACGCCACAAATAACGTGTTACATGCAAATAGCACGATGCCATGTAGGTAACCAGAAGACAAAGTAGAATAATGCTTAAAAATTTCCCAATAAAACACTACTTATGGGCATAAGGATTAAGATTAAAAGCAGCATCATCATGTGCAACTTAAGGGGAAACATGGCCAGATTGCTTTATTTCTACTCTTTTTTTTTTGTTTGGCCATGTTGCTTTGTTTGTACTAAAACTAAGCTTTAATTACAGTATCTTTTTGCTCAAGTAAAAGGATTTGTTGCATCTTTAGGTGAAGGCGAAACTGGTAAAAAAAAAAAATTAAATAAAAATAAATAAAAAAAACTTCATCATTCAAAATCGATATGTTTTTTAGCTAAAATAGTCCTTGAGATTGGCGTAACTCATCCCTTTGGTCTTTGAGATTTAAAATCTATTGAAGTAGTCTCTGAGTTTGCCTACCGTCAATCATTTTAGTTATTTTGTAAAAATCTTCATTAAATGAATTCCAAACTAACAAAAATACCCTTTTGTTAAATTATTTTGGCCCATTGTTTATTAAATTGAGATTTTTGTCATTTTAGTCCTTATTAACAAAGATTTTCACGAAATAACTAAAATGATTGACGGTATAAAAATTCAGGGTCGATTTCTATCGATTTTAAATTGCAGAGACCAAAGTGAGGAGTTATGCTGATCTCATAAACTATTTTAGCTAAAATGCCAAATTAATTTCATCATGTGCATATTTATGCGTACTCCACTGACCCTAATCAAGATTAGTGTGTTCTTTAATCTTTCTCATACTTTGAAAAGCTTTGTGTCTTCCTGCAAATTTGATGAATAATAATTAGAGTAACACTTAGATGTGAAGCTTTTGTTTAATCAAATGGTGTTGGACCCGAGAGGGGAACCTAACGGCCTTTGGACATCATCAAAGCAACCTCACATGGGTCTCTCTCTCTCTCTCATCCTCAAACCCACTTAGAAGCGCTTTTCCAAAAGTGATTATTTGTTTTTTGTAGCGCATGGCAAATTGGCAATCATGCCATGCCCTCTAAATTACAATAAGAGCTTTTTGATGTGTAGTCACGCAACCACCAAAACTAAAAGACCACCTTTGTAGTAGGAGAGAAATTTAAGTGCAATTGGTTGTATATTTTTTTCGTTTTTTTTTGTTTTTATCGGTTACAACCGATTATATATCTTTCTTTTTTTCTCTTTCAACATGCGAGAGAAGAAACATACCATGATCACATGGCACAACGGGTAGCCTCCTCGGATGCCACGTGTCTGAAAGACCCATGATGTCAGTCAATTTGCTGACTCTAGCTTATAAACACTAGAGTTTTTCGTCATTAAATTCTTGATTGAGGATCTAATGACTAAAATTTAATGACAAAAATTCGTATAAAATACACAAACATAACAGAATATTCGTAAATTGATTAAGGCCAAGACTAAGAAAACGAAAACCCCACCTTGGAAATGGATGCATTTTTGGAGGAGAAAGTTGTCGCATTTGCCTCTTTACTTTTGTCTGGTGTTTTAATAAACGAGAAACCAAACGACATGAGTGATAGATCCCACCACGCTTCCACTAACAACCTAAATGCGTGAGTGAATTACGAGCTGGTGGTACAGTGGTAAATGATGGATTATAAGATTTCCTTAAAGCTAAAAACTGGAGGTTTCGGGTTTGAAATTCGCTGCTAGTGTGGAAACCAGACTAGTGGCTAGGAGAATGTTGAAATGCCTCTGTGAGTCTTCCTGACCTCCGAAAAAGGTGAATAACCGTAGCTTGCCATTAATTATCTCCCTTTTAAAGAAAAAAAAAATACGTGAGTGAGAGTGTGAGACTATGTTCCAAGTTCGACACGCCTGTCGGGGCAAACAGGGCACAATACTAAGCCACTATGCAAAATCATCATACCAAAAGGTAGTGTGTTTTGTTCATGTCCCAATTCCAAGTAGTTTAATCCCTGTTAGGTTTTGTTAGGGAAATTTTGAAAAATCAACACTTTAAGACTCATGATCTTCTTTTTTAAAGATATAGAAATATAGTCACTCGATGCCATTACCAACAGCTCTCGAGCCATCTCGAGACCCCTTGAGCACTACTCAATCTCAAATCCTCCTCAAGTATCAAGCGCTTGAGTGACTTAAGTATAATTGTTTTATTTTCAAACTTTTCCGTTCAAATAGCGAGTGCTTTCTAAATATCACTTTTCACTTTATGCACACCTTCTTTTATACATATGAGGTTAATGATAATGTGTAAAAATCACTTTTATTTCTGAGAGAAACTTACCTACATTCGAAAATGCATTGTGGCAGTGCACTTGTGCATGGATGACAAGCTGTAGTGAAAGGAAAGTATGTAACCTACAAGTAGAAAAATAAAAAATTCTTAGGTGTTCCGGAGGGACAAGGATTGTCTGCCCTCCCACTTCCGGTGCCCTCCAGTGCCCTCCTGTTTGTGTGGTCATGGTTAAATCACGTCAACATTTTATATTACTATTCATTTTTATCTTATTATCTCTATAAAAAAACAATATAAAATTTTGACGTGGCTTAACCGTGACCACACAAAATAGGAGAGCATAAGAGGGCACTGGAAGTGAGAGGGCAGATAATCCTTGTCCGTTCCGGAGTATCGGATACTCCGGGCACTGGTAAGTTTAGAGATCAGATAGGGACGTGAGTGAAGTGATATCAACTTCATGGGGACCTGCTAACTATAAAGGGAAAGTACATGGTACCATATCTAAAATCTGTATTCTCTTCTTTGGTATATTTTCAATTATGGCGATTGAGTGACCGCCGCAAAACCAATATGCCTTTTGTTTCTCCAGTTGGGTCCCAGCTATCAACTTGGACATGGAAACCAAATGCAAAGACAAAGGTTTCACTTTTTAGTCGTTTATGCGGCTATAATTCTCCATATCCACTTGAGAAATGGTGACTTCTCGATCGAAAACTATTTTTTCGGCCTCTTTTGTTTATTTCAGCGGATGATCTGAATTTGCTACTTCGCGTAGCTCTGGAGAGCGTGGAGTTCGACCACAAAGCGCTTTCCATACAACTTGCTTTTACTTCTCTGTTACTGTTTATATTTTTGCTTCTAGCAATAGGTTCCTGGAGCTTTGTAGGTTTAGTGGCTTAGCTTGCAAGAAATTGCCCGAGCTGTAGTTGGGGAAACCCGGGAAAAATATCGGCAGTTGGGGAAACCCGGGAAAAATATCGGCCACGTTTAGTGTCTAAATTAGATAACTCGCTATATTAAAAGTATGAAGAAATCCAACTACTAGATTATGTCGACGCAAAAGAAATTATCCAAACAATCAACCTCTGCATGTTTTTCTACCCAAACTTATTTCTTGAACTGGTATAGTTGTATTTGCTTATAGAACGAGTCACGTAAACATTTCAAGGTTGCAGTTACAGTAAAAATGAATCATTTATACAGACCTAATTTCTGGGAATTCACTATTACACGAAAACCGCTTGTTTCAACGACGCAGTTTGTCAATAAAGGTTTTACATTCTGTATCTCGATCCTATTTTGTTCTGTGATCATCGGTCTTACCTTCTTTTGGGCAAACTCTACTCTGGACACCCTTTTGGCTGTTCTAAACTAACTAATCATTCCACCCATCTTTGTTTGCAGCCCTCGATGTGAGGCCATTCACAGAGATGCTTCCCAGATGCGCCCCAGGTGTTTTCACCGCATTTTCTCCGTCCCAGTCATCATCCCAACCTTCATCCCAACCTTCAGCCGTTTCCACGGCAGATGCTGGAACAGATTCCGGCAATCCCATTTCAAGTTCCTGATATGGAACTCCATCTCCAGTACGCTCTTTCCTCTTCCTGATCAAGCAGCAAGCCCACATTCCTCCAAAAGTTAGCACTGCAACAATCAAGATGTAGGCACCATTGATTGGGGTCGCTATGGTCTTGAGAGAAGGAAACGCCCGAGGGGGAGGATCTATGTGAAGCTTACATTCTCCGGTTCCAGCATTTAATGTTATATTGGTGCCTTTACCCGGATCAATTGATATATTGACCTGCAAAAACAAATTAACAAACGGCACAACTTTGTTTTCAGAAAAAAAAAAAAAATGCGAATGTAAGCTCCCAACGTAACAGTGACAGAAAAACACAAGTATAATTTCCATGGTTCATGCATGACACCAGATCATGAACCCGTCAAAAGCAGGTAAGACATTGTAGTAAGGTCATGCATCCAGGAAAGTCTTTTGCATGGTATTATCAATTCAGCTGGTCATCTAAACACAAACAGGGTTCTTTCAACATTAAGTTTCTAAGAAGAACACTGATAGTGCAGAATGTATGTCCATCTCCCAAACTTTTCCACCTCACTTCGACATACAGCCATAATTTATACTGTATTCCCAACTTTCCATCTAAAACAAATTTTTATTTTTCAATTATCAGCCTATGTTTTTGTTTTCGTCTCTCCGGTCCACGCTCCTTTCCTCTTTAAATTTCTTTTGTCGATAAGAAAAACACATTACCAAATGGGCTGTCATTGATCATATTTCTTTCCCCTTTTTACACATTCAGGCCAATCCAAAATTATATGCTGATCCCACAGAATTACAAAAAGATTGCCATTCTTGTGTTCGGAAACCCCACACAAAGAAGAAAAGGTGCAAGACTGGTAATTTCAGATTTTTACTTTTTTTTTTAAGAAAAGAGAAAGAAAAGCTATATAATCACCACAGAAAACACTCAACCAGGCAAAACAATAACAAAGTAGCAGAATTAATACGAGGAATTCTCTTATGTGCATTGACCTTTCACTGTTGGATACAACAGCATTTGTCATCCAATGTTGAAGCTTTGATGATTATCCTAAGAACACTGTGGCAGAATCCAACGATCTTTACCTTTCCGTTTTGGTGTTTGTGAATCTCTAGGTGCTTGCTGATACCATTGGCAGAAAGGGTTGCCTTCAAAGTGCTGTTTCCTACGTTTTGAACCAGAATGGCCACTTCTTTGGACCCTGCAACATGGGAAGATAAAATAAATTTATTGTTTTTCATCTCACTAATAATTATGAGTTCAGATGGTATTGATTGATCTCCACCACTCTGATCCACAGCTTTAATGAATAACATACAAAATGGAGTGATGAAGAGTAGATGCAATTTCACATGGCATAAATGAAATTTAACATCTCACTTTATCATGAAGACTTCAAAGAATACCTCTCCATCAGAGAATAGCTTTGTAAGATGCACATAGCTTATGATACATCTTAGACACTGAAATCGGGTCTAATTCTGCTCTTTATATTCATCAAACTCCGTTAGCCATAATTTTTTCCTTTAAAGTCCAAAAGATTTCAATAAACTGCCCAAATCATGGCCGACCAAGCAAAAACCAAAGAGAAGCAACAATGTAAGCCAGAAATTTGGAAAAAGCATTAAATATTTAGAAATGTCACAGAAACAGTCTGCAAGATTGTGGTAGATGTGACTACTACATCAAACCAAGTCTGATATGCAACTGACACAGGGGGGCGCCTTTAAGCTTTTTAATATCCAACAGAATCCCCAGATAATTTCAAACTAATCTTACAGACATAGTGACCTAGAGCCCAGCGGCATTGATCGATAAATCAAAACTGAAATGTGTTAACAATTTACAGATTGATGGTTCAGATATCATGTTTATAAACTTCTTAATTAAGAAGAGCCTTACTACCAAGCCTATTGTCATAGAGCAAGCCAAGTTTCTATATAATTGTGATATAGAACATGTACTGAATGGCAATGCCTTTCCACACAAAAAAATGTGTTACATATAGTGCTCACGAGAAATGACTTTCGACCATTTGCAGCTGCATAATTAAGAAGCATTGATTTTGACTCAGTAGACACTACAAACCAACCAATAACTAGTTCTAAGTTCTAACAACAGAACAAATGTACTCGAGAAGTATTCCAATGTAGTATACTCAAGCAAGCAAAACAATGTCACCAAAATGTTTTCATCTTTGAATTCCATCTCAACATCCTAATTTGTAAAACCATTATAGATATCCCTTAAACTATATTGCACATTTTCTTGTAAATCAAATAGTGTAGAATGTCAGTGAAATAGTATCAACAGTTATGTGCATTACCACTACTGAAGCTCTTAATGCAAGCAACCGCCACATCCTTGACCGCACATGTTTTGATTTTGGTTACCCCAGCGCAGCTCTCCTGCTTCTCCTTCTCCTTCTCCTTTGGATTATCCTTCTCCTTCTCCTTCTCCTTCGCATTATCCTTCTCCTTCTCCTTTGGATTATCCTTCTCCTTCTCCTTCTCCTTCTCCTTCTCTCCTTCGGATTATCCTTCTCCTTCTCCTTTGGATTATCCTTCTCCTTCTCCTTCGGATTATCCTTCTCCTTCTCCTCCTTCGGATTATCCTTCTCCTTCTCCTTCGATTATCCTTCTCCTTCCCCTTCTCCTTAGGATTATCTTTCAACACCTTGTCAGTGTCCTCCTTTGAATTATCTTTCACCTTGTCGGTATCCGGCTTCGGATCATCATTCGATGTCTTGGCAGGCTCTGGATCCTTCATTTCTGTTTCCACATCCTTCCCTTCACCCCTTTTAGTATCATTATTCAAACCCACCTTGGGGCCCTCATCCACTTTCGGTTTCGGAGTCTTCGCGGGTTGCGAAGACTCCACTTCCTCCTTACTCGGGTCATCAACCGGCTTAGTATCCGACCCATTTTCACCAGAACTTGACACCGTAGGAGGCAGCAGCGGACTAGGCACCGGAGAACCCTCCTTGCCCTTGCCCTAAAGTTTTCGAAAACAAGTAAATTTTCGAAGTTTGAACTAAAAAACATGAAATTCAGAATCTGGAGAGGGAAAGAGAGTTACTGGTACTGTCGTATTGTCGTTTTGAGGCTCACCAATCAAAATTCTGTGCTTGGAGAGCGAAGAAGAAGCATCGGCGACGACAAAGACGATGAATAACACCGCCAGAAAACCGATTCTATACATTGAATTCGGAATTCGGAGCTCGTTTTCTGATCGGATTCACGTCCTCCACGCCAAAACCGTAGAAATTAATCCGAACCCCGATCCGGACAATCGCATTTTGGGGATAAAGTTGCAGGATTTATGAATTTGTGTTAGGATTTCAATTTGGGGTATAGAGATTTGGATTGAAATTTAGGGTTTTAGATTGGGGAAACTGTGATTTGCAGAGACTTGACGCTAGGGTTGACCGAGAAGTCAGCTTCTTCGCAGACGTAGAGAGAGCTCGAATTGGACACTTTCTGACACGTGGCAAACTGCCAAGTGTGCCACCTGTGATACGATGTGGATGTGGTAACATATAATTCTTTGCAGACAGTCATGAGAGCTTTGGGATTCCTGCAAATTGGACATTTTCTGACACGTGGCAAACTGCCAGGAATGCGTTACTAGCATACAACGTTGTAATAAACGGAGAACCATGTGGTTGTAGGGAGTTTTTTTGTTCATCACTATTTAGTGTGATGTATGTTCATTGTTCACCATCTTGTTTATCACCGTTATGTGAGTTTGAATTTCGAGATTCGTGTAGTGGATAAGCACAAATCTCAAAATTCAAACTCATTTAACAGTGATAAATAGGATGGTGAGCATACGCCACACTAAATGATGTTGAGCAAAAATGCACTCTGCGGTTGCATCAAAAGTTCCAGAGAGGGTTGAGCCATGGAGAACCACTTTTGCCCTTTTTGTTTGTCTTAGGCCAAGACCTAAATGTAATTATGTTCAGAATTATAGTCTCGAGTGTCATGTATACTCAAATACCATCTCCAATCAAAGAGGCTAAATATAGTCATCTCAATAATTTATTAATTTTAAGTTTATACTTTAAATTTATTGGTTAATTTAGTTATATTAATGTTGGATATTTTCAAATCTAGCAGTTGAATTTGAATCAATTATTGCAACTGCGGAGCAAGGTCTCAAAAAATGGGGCAGGAGGGGTACCATATCTAGCCTAGCGTGATGTCCTTTTGGCCAAATAGTGGTATTGTGGGCTTCATAAAATATTTCGGCGAGAATGTACATCACAATCTTCTTCACTAAATTCATGGATGGGAAGAACAATTTTTATTGGATAGGGGCAAAGAAGTATTACTAAAAGTCATGGCAATGGCTCTTCCAAACTATGTCATGTCTTGCTTTAAATTACCTATCAATATAAGGAAAACTAATGAAAAATGTTTGAAAATTTTGAGTTTGAACGATAAGAACAAAATAAAGGGTAAGGTGACCAGGATTGACTTTTTAATGTAAAAATATAATTTTTCGTTAAAATGAACAGTACTGCAGGTTTTTTTTTAGAACTCCTATCGCAATGAATTGGAGAGCTTCAAGGCTAAATTTTGGTGGGAAATGAAGGGAGGGAGGTGGCAGTTTGTGTTGGGTCACGTGGAAAAAATGAAAAAAAAAAAGAAAAAGAAAAAGAAGAGGAGTGGGGGTCTAGGTTTTCGGGAATTAAAGTGCTTCAATCTTGCTAGCGGAAGTGCGGCGACGATGATAGGAGGTGTGGGGTGACGATGATAGGAGGAACGGGGTGGGCAGCGAGGAACAGTGCTGGATGGTTTCAAATGGCAGGAGGACGTGCGGATTGATGGAAGCCGAGCCTCGGCATGGAAGTTGAAGCTGTACGAGATGCTTTATGTGCTCTAATATCCATGCTCAAAGTTTAAATAAACCTTTATATTTGAGAGTTAACTTACTCCGAATAGTTTCCATTGAGTTTGCCTTTGCGCCCCGAGCTTGTAACAGGGCAGCTCGCTCGGTGGCTTCTGTTAACCGCACGTGTGATGTCATAGATGAGGATTACTGTTTTCTAAACTTCTATTTAATATTCGTGGCAAGGATGTAAACATTGTTATTCGAATTGATTAATAAAATCTATCGTTTAGAAAAGAAAAGAGAAGCTGTAACATTTAAAAAAAAAAAACCCAAAACTATGATATGAATGATTATGGGGCCTTTTGTATGGAATCGTACGGGCCTAGGGCTTAGGGCATTGGTTGGACTGTGGAAAAACTTGGCATCCCAAAGGAGGTCCATGCTAAATTTGCAAAATTGTTTGAAAAACTTGGGCATAGGTTTTGGATTTAACAGATATAAATAATGAGTTTGATACTAAATTATAACTTACCTGTTATAAATACATTGTTGGTTATAACTAAGGGATGTTTGCTCCATAATTGAATTATTGAAATACATAATTTTTCATGTAGGATGTTTGTTTTTTTAACAAAGAAAGAACGCATAGCAATATTTTTGAAATGCAAGAATAGCATGTTTGTACATTTTGTTGGTGATCATAAGCACATTACCGAAAACTATAGACATTTGCTCTTTATTAAAGTACGAACATCTGCTTCATCGTTGGACCATATTGAAATAAGAAGTGATTGTTGCACAGTAATTTTCTATGCATCCTTGTTTATTTTACCCTTCGAACTAAATAAATAAATCGACATTTGCTCTTTATTAAAGTACGAACATCTGCTTCATCGTCGGACCATATTGAAATAAGAAGTGATTGTTGCACACAAATTTTATATGCATTCTTGTTTATTTTACCCTTCAAATTAAATAAATAAATAAATAAAATATTAAAAGACATAAATAAGTACGAGTGTTCAAAGAAGAAAAGTGTGTATATGTATCTATATTGACTAGAAAGACCAATAAAAAAACAGAAAAGACACAAAGAAAAAACCATAAACCAGAAAAAGCAATTGCAAATGAATCTTGATTACTTTTGTGCTGCATAAGCCTTCGACAGTGAAAAGAGTTTTGCTTTGATATGTATGGAATAAAAACACAACATCTTAAATTGTAATTGTTCATGGTACATGATTTTTCTGCAATAGACAAGTGTATAGGACGAATTAGTGTTTGAACGGCTAGATTATGATTATCGGGGTTAAGATTTTCTCTCTTCCTCTTTTATATCTTTTCATCCTCTCATCTCTATGACTATCGGGGTTAAGATTTTCTCTCTTCCTCTTTTATATCTTTTCATCCTCTCATCTCACACTCTTTATTTTGTTTTCCTCTTTTTATAAAAAATTCAGCAGTTTAATGCACTGGTGCACTGTAGAACTTTTGTCTAGTGCAATACTTACCGTACAAGTTCCCTAGATTAATGTGGTACGTATTAATGGAAGGGGATTCTTTCCAGATCTCTTTCCATCAAATCCACCTAATTTAGGATCTGAAGCATTAGATTTTGATCCAACGGTTACAGTTATTATAACTTTTAAAGAGGTTCTCTATTCGTAACCGTTAAATCAAATTTCAACAATTCAAACCCCAAACTAGCTAAATTTGATGGAAAGGGATCGAGAGAGGATGGCTTTCCCATATTAATGTTCTCTACATTTACCTCTCTTTTGTTTGAAGCAATTATATTTGGACAACTGCAACCAACTGCATAAAATCTGAGCCTTTTCAGATTCCATGTTGGTGATATTCCTTGCTTCCTTGCAGACTTCAAATGAATCCGAGTCCTTATTTTTTGGCTTTTTATTTAAAATATCAATGATAGTATTACAATTTCTAACTTTCGTATTTGAGCTTTAAATTTGATAGAAGTGGCCCATGAGATTGTCCACAGTCAATAATTTTGATCATTTTGTGAAAAATTTCTGTTAAACTGAAAAAACCACTAGTTCAAGTGGAAGGGCTGATTTGACAAAAATACTCTTAATTTAACAGAGATTTTTCATATAATGACCAGAATGATTGACGGTGGATAATAACAAAGACAACTTATATTGATTTTAAATCTCAAATATCAAAATGATGAATTATGACAATCTTAGAGACCATTTTAGTTAAAAAGCTTTAATTTTTTACGCATCAAAAAGAAAGTAAACCATATTATTTAGTACTCTGTCACTGCCATTGCCCCTATCAATGTGCAAAAATGGTGGAGGCAAAGAAGGCAATAAAAGAAGTAGTTGAAGCAAAAAATCAAGTGCAAATGTGGAAGTTTGGGGACGACAAGAGCTCTCTGCTCGACCAATTCGAGAGGCTCTCCGTAGACTTGCAACTCAACCAGGCAATGCTGCGTCGGAGTCTCTCCGAGCCGATGTATATTCGGTCTGAGTTTCCTCTTTTACTCACTCAGGGTCCACCAGAACCGTCACGACCACCACCACCACCACCACCACCACCATCACCGCCACATTTGGTTACGAAGAAGAGACGTGGCTCAGGGTTTAACAAGGTTCTGAAGAAGATGATCAAACCCATTCTGAGAAGAATGAGTGGCAAAAAGAAGGACTTCCCAATCCCAGAGGCCAAAGACCCCAGGTTTTGGAAGACATTTAGTAGATCTGTACGCCTTTGAAAGTTGCAACATTTGAGAATTAGTAACTCTATGTATTGTCTGAACTTCCAACATTTGTATAACTTTTGGGGTTTCATTCCATGTTTTTAATTCCTCTTGTAAGTGCCTGTTCTATGCACATTTTTACATGCTACTCATACATGAAATGTTGCAAACTTCTAGTGATTGGTGGGGATTCAAACGCTAATCACAATGGAATGTGACTATAGCAATATCTCGATTCTCAAGTTATTCACGAACTCTAGAAGAAAACCAAAACACATGACAATTCATAAGTAATTTGAATACTAATGAAAGATGGTAAGTTTCTCGATATAAGTAAGTTTCCTTCATACCATGCTTCGCATTAATAAACGTTAAAATTCTTGTGTCCGCCTAGAGAATCACGTCATTCGTACATCCACTTATACAACTACACTGTTTGAAGAAATTATCACGAAAGACCCACTTTCATCAACTCCGTACGAATGACATGGTAATCCAAATGGGGACAATTTTCTCCAAAAACGACATGGTATTTGATATCGTTTTTTCCCAATTCTAATCAAAATTAGCAATTTTCACCCAAATTAGATATTTTTTACGTTGTTCCAACGTTAGCTCAGACAGAACTCCAGAGAATTATCCATGGACCTCTCTATGATGCCTTCTTCATACCCAACCCCTGCACAGTTTTCCACTCTCCCTCTCCACCTCCACCTCCATCTCCATCTCCATTCTCCAGAACCCAATACAGCGGTAAGCTGCTTTTCCTCGCAGCACTTTCATCCTCAGCTACAAATCCCACTACAACCCACCGAAAACCCTCAAAAGATTACATCTTGCAGTCCGAATTCGAAAACCCAAATCTGGGTTTTGACGACACAGCCAGCAGATTGCAGGTGCAGAATTTCATTGACGGAATCAAAGCTCTGCCCTTCAAAAAAAAAAGAGGAGTGAAATTCTTGGTGTTTTAGAAAAAGACGGTTGTTTTCAAACCGTATCTGAATTCAACTCTCTGCTGATGGCTTTAGTCATAGCAGAAGAGCCTGATATTGCATTGAGCTTGTTTGATGAAATTTTACCAGCTCATTGGTTGGTGCCAGATTCTGTGACGTTTTCCTTCCTGATAATTTGTTGCTGCGGTAAAAACGATCTGGATGGGGCTAGAGGGGGTTTAATCCACATGGTGGAAAATGGTTATACGGTACCCAGATCCTGCAACTTTTACTGTCCTGGTGAATTCGTTGTACAAGAGGGGTAAATTGCGAGGGCTATGGAGGTTTTGGAGGTGATGGGTAGGGTTGGATTGAAGCCAACGGTTCAGATTTACAATTGCTTGCTGAAGGGGTTATGCTATGTGGGGAGAGTTGAGGATGCATATGATATGCTGACGAGAATAAAAAAGATGAAGTAAAACCTA